CAGACACACTCTCTCCACAGAAGCTGCAAAGGGCAACCCATGATGGTCTCCACGACGATGGTGCACGCCGAAGGACGTGGTCCAGGCTGCCACTGGTCGGTGGAGGAGCAGAGGCAAACTCCCTGAAGCCAGCGAGCTCTCCCACGGGGACAGAGGGTGACCCGCCCGTTCCCACGGGGCCTCAGCTGGGAACGTTCCCTAACTCTGCATTGGTGGGCCCAGGGGACAACAGTGACTGCTGGCCTTTGAGGCCTGCTCAACTGCCCAGGAATGGGGGACGGGTGCCCGGGACACTCTTCCAGTTGCTGGTGGTGGGAGGACGCTCCTGGGGCTGGCGGTCATCAATCAGCACTTGCGTGGCCCCCAGCATCATTCATGCTTCGCAGCCGGCAGAGGGCTGGGCCCTGGGACGAGGCCCTGGCGGCTGAACTGCGGAATGGTGTGAGGGTGATGTGCTCATGTCAAACCCGTGGACCAAAAGTATAGACTAGGAAAACCCAGAGGCCGCACAATTAGTAATAGGGAGCAAACATGCTATTTTCCCTCATTTTTTTCCTTGACTTTGCCATGAAGGGTTTCCTCGCATTCATCAGGAGGAAGAGCTCTGTGACAGCCAGACGTCCTCGGGCTCTGGACTGGCAGCCTGGGTGGGCGGGGGCAGGGCCGGGGGCTCCTGGGTGCCAGGCAGGCTCTGTCTCTGACTGGCTGCGTCTGGACTGGCTGGTCTGGCTGGATCCACAGCCTGTAGGTCTACCCGGCTGTGCTCTGTAGCTCTGGCTCTGGCTGAGGGGCTCTGGGAGGGGCCGGGGCTCTTCCACTCCGTGGGTGAGGGGTCAGCGTGGACAGAGCTGCTGTGTGGAGGCCACGGGTAGATCTGCCTCCCTCCTGCCCACCTTGCGCCTGGCCCCTGGCAGCAGGCTGTGCGTGTTGGGCAGACCGTGTGTGCCGCCTGCTTGGCTGCAGGCCCGGCAGCCCTTCCTGGATTTTCCATGTCCCGTGTGGCGTCTCCGCCTGGGGAGGCTGATGGTGTGGGCAGCTGCCAGGCAGCCCTGACGACGGGGTCTTGGGGACCCTGGCCCCAGAACACTGGCTCACAGGCAGCCCAGCCTGCTTGGCCCTTGGAGCCCAGGACTCAGAGCTGCTCATCAGCCACATGTCCCTGCAGTGACTCTCTGCCCTCTCTCTGGAGGACAGGCTACGGGGTCGTGTGAGACACCAGGGCTGGATGCACAGGAGGAACAGAACTCTCCGTTGGTTCAGAGGGCCTAGGCAGGAGGGCTGTGCCCCTGCCTGACTGTGGAGCCGTGGGCAAGGTGCCAGCCCCCTCTGAGCCAGGGTCTCCTCATCTGGACCGCAGAGGCTTCGTTGGCCTCCCTGCCTGGGTACCGAGTGTGGAAAGAATCAAGTGACGGAATATGGAGGAGAGTACCCAGAGGGTATTATGTGACACTGCTCAATGACGGTGATTCAGAGCAAAAGAGCCAACCAGCCAGGCCACCAACCAACCAACCAACCAACCAACCAACCAACCCATCAAGCTACCTGCCGCCTAATCAGCCTAATAACCACCCAACCCACGTACCAACTAACTAACTGCAGCTCCATTTTCAGGAAGGGACACAGACCTCCTAAACAACCAACCAACCAACCAAACCTACCTACCTGCCTACCTGCCTACCTGCCTGCCTACGTCCCTCCCTACCAACCAGTCAACATAATAACCACCCAATGAACCTCCCCCACTCACAAACTGACCAACCAATCAGGTAACTTACCAATGAACCAATCGACCCACTAATCAGTATGATAGCCAACTTACCAAATATCCAACCAATAATCCATTGACCAATGATCAACCAACCTGCCAATTAGCCAGCAAACCAACCGTCCTATCTGCCCACATGCCAACTGGCCTACCAGACACCGAGCAGTGGGGCTTTCTACCTTTCTGGGGAAAACAGAGGCACACCACAAACGGACAAAGTCCTCTCTGGTGAGCGCGGGCATGGAGAGGTGTGTCGCCATAGGTGCCCCTCCTGGGCTGACCTGGCCAGGAGTCCTGAAGGCTCTGGAGGCGAAACCCAACTGAGACTTGGTGGAGGACAAGAGGCGCCCAGGGACTTAGTCCTGATGTCAGGGGCCCCAGGCCCATTCCCGGGGTTCCACCAGGCCCTCCGCTGTGACCTCCTTGTTTCCATCTCCATGGTGTTGAAAGGCCAGAATGTGACATTTTTCCTGCCTGAGACCTTGTGGGCTGCTCTGTGTTCTTGGCCTGGGGGGAAGACCCTGTCGGGCCCAGCCAGCACCCGGACCTTGACACAGGGGCCCCGTCCAGGTGTGCTTCCTTTTCTCTTTAGAGATGGTCTTGCTACGCTGCCCAGGCTGGCCTCACACTCTCGGGCTCCAGTGAACCTCCAACTAGTTGTGAAGAGGAGTGCACCCCACCCCTGGCCCTCACTGGACAGAACTCAAAGCATCATTCCTACGGCAAAGCAAGCTCAGGCGCAGGGAGGAGTTGCTCCTTGCTGGGGGGGTGGCCCACTCTGGGCATCTCTGTGGATCCTGGGGCTCTGCCATCCTCTGCAGTTGGCTGGGACTCTCTTGGGCAAGCTCAGGAAGAGCTGCTCTTGCATGGAGGCCCTTCTCCCCCTCCACCTGGCAATCCCCACCTGGGCCTTCCTGGCCCAGGGTCTCACTGGGTTGTTTAGCACCTCGCTTTTGCTGAGGCTGGCGTTGAACTCACGATCCTCCTGTCTCAGCCTCCCGAGCTGCTGGGATTACAGGTGTTGGTTTGTTTGTTTATGTAGGGGACACAGGGAAGAAGGGGACACTCAGCAGCCCCTCCTCAATGCAGTTCTCCTGAGGCACCCAAGGAGGAGTCACCTGCAAGAAAATTGGAGCCTCATTGCAGGTGCCGGTGGAGGAGAGGAGAAAGCACAGGTAGGAGGCCCACCCTGAGGCTCAAGTTCACCCTGAGCTGCGTCAGAGGGTTAGTCCGACTATTCTGACTTCCTTGACTGTAACAAGAGAACAGCGTGGTCACTTATAAAGGAAGGGATCGGGTCCACAAAAGTCGGTACACCCAGTGGCGCCCAGGAAGCAGCAGCTCTGTTCCTGGGGCTCTGCAGATGGAGAGGCTCTGGCCCTCGCACGGGAAGACGCGTTTCCAAGTGGGGGCTGAGGGGCTCTCTGATGGTCCATGTCTGCAAATTATCGTAGTTTACTTAGCTTCAGAAAATTTGCAAAAAGGATTTCTTTTTGGTGACATAAACTTCCTATTTGCTACTTTCCACTATTTTTCTTTTTTTTTTCCAAAGAAACCAAAAAACCCAGGACAGGTTGTCGCACCGGAAGCTGCAACAGAAGACGCAGGGTCTGATAGATCTCCTTCTCCTCCGCCAAGTCCCAGAATAAGATACACATTTCCAAATTGATCCAGCTTATAACAATGTCACTCATAATGAAAGGATGAAATCCTGGGTTTGGGGGATCAGGGAGATTTGGGGTGAAGCTTCCTTGGGAAGAGCTGTCTGCATTCCCTCTCTCGCTGCCTGAGGGGCCTGAGGAGACCTCACTTCAAGTTTGTTTATTTATTGGTACCAGGGACTGAAGTCAGGGGCACTCGGCCACTAAGCCACATCCCAGCCCTATTTTGGATTTTATTTAGACACAGGGTCTCACTGAGTTGCTTAGTTCCTCGGTATTGCTGAGGCTGGCTTTGAACTCCTGATCCTCCTCTCAGCCTCCTGAGCCACTGGGATTACAGGTGTGAGCCACCACGCCCAGCTCCACCTCACGGTTAGGGAGAAGAACTGTGTTGGTCCCTTGCAGAGTGGAAGGTGGGACCTGCTGTGCAGCCCCTGTCTGAGAGAAGTAGGCATCGTCTACTGACTTCTGGAGGGGCAGAGCAGAGCTCCTGTGCTGACCCAGGCCTGTGCTCACTCCCAGAGCCACGGCCAAGGACGTGTGTGTGTCTGAGGGACTCAGGGCTGGCCCTGCACAGTGAGGGGCCGTGGGCCCTGCCCAAGACAGTGGCAGGGAGAAACTGGTGCACCATCATCCCTGGGGTAGGAAGTGACCTGCTGTCAGAGGGACGCACTGACCTCACTGAGGGGATGTCTGGGAGCATCCTCCACAAGGAAGTGGCCAGAGTGGCCTTTGCTCTGTCCCAGGATGAGAGCAAAAAGCCCGCCACACCTGTATATGAAATGACACTCTGGTCCTGGGTGGCTGAGAGGTGTCAGGCCTCTGGGGTGGCCTGAGCTAGCCTGGGCCCCCAGAGCCCTCCGCAGGGGGTACATTTAAGGGGGCCATGGGAAACCAAATGAAGGGGCCTGTGGATATGCCCATGAATCCAGCCTCCCCCAACCACAAACAGATCCTGCCTCTGACCCCGTGTGGCCTTGGGCAGCCCCGGCCATCCTGAACCCGGATCTCTTGTCTCTGGCGGAGGCGTGGCCCACCTCATGTCAGGTGCCTGAGCCACCTGCTTTCCCTTCCTCCTAAGACCCTCGGCCTTCAAAGAAACCTGGGTCCCCAAGGTCCTGGCCTCAGAGCTCACAGTAAAATAGGTGCGGCACTGCCCAGGATAACAGGCTGCTGGACGTGCCCGTGAGCAGTGGCTGCTGTCTCACCGGTGGCCTGGAGGCTTCTGGGGAGGTGCTGGAGAGCCCCGCTTCTCACCTGGACAGAGTGGGGCACTGGGGCCTGGCCCAGGCCGAGGTGGGCTGCCATGAGTCTCCTGCAGGAGAACAGGGTGCAGAGCAGGAGGCTGCGGGAGGGGAGGTCAGCAGCCCGGGGGTTCAGAGCATCTGGGGCCTTGAGGGGCCATGTGAGGGCAGGTTTTGGTCTGGGGGAGTCAATGGAGGGAGGGGGGCTCCGAGTGCAGGAGAGGGCGGGTCTGGTTGTGGGTGGGAGGTGGGGTCTCTGGCCGGAGCCTGACCAGGGGGAGCGCACAGGCGCTGACCCTGCAGCACCCCGGCTCCTGTTCTCCCCACAGCCACACGGCCTCAGGGGAGCACCTGGGTCAGACGAAGGGTGCGTCTGGACCAAGGACATGGGCAGCAGCTTCTGGGCAGCATGGAGACGGGGTGGCAGCAGAGTGACATCGGTGTGAGCTGGGCAGGTGCCGGAGCGTCCCCTGAGTCCTCTTCACCACAGCCCCACATTCCCAGCTTCCAGATGGGGAAACCGAGGCATGGAGTGGCTTCACGCCATCCCCAACGCCCTGTGGCCCATAAAAGGCAGAGGGGTTGAGCCCAGGTGAGCCTGCGGTCAGAACTGGGGCTTCTGCACTCCTGCCCAGGAGACTTAACCAAGCGGCAGGAATGAGAGGAGGTGCTGGCTTTGTCCTTGGAACCTGCCCCTTGGGGTGGTGGGGCCTCTGCTCATCCTTGAACCACTTGGTGCTCGGGGAGTCTGGCCAGCTCTCTTGAGCCCAGTTACTGCTGAATTCTTCCTGAGAGTCCACTGCGGGACAGCCAGAGCCTTTCCCAGCGGTCCTGATCACCGGGGAAGGACGCTTTAGTCCCTGTCACTGAAAGTTTCCATTTAGCCATTTAGTTTTGGTGGCAAAGTCTGTTCCACATTTCCTAAGAAAACGTATTGCTGTTTGCGATGGCTTCGATGTGGTCTGTCCCCATCAGGACGCATGTTGATGCACGGTTGCCCGTGCGGCTGGTGGGGGATAGGAGGGCAACGTCTTAGGGGATCAAGGCCAGGCTAGCTCTCTGCAGCACGGTGGTTACAAAGCAGTCAGCTACTTTGTCCCCTACTGTCTCCCGCAGGCACCCACTTGCTTTTCTACTTCCTGCCTTGAGTTGAGGCAGCATGAGGCCCTCACCGGAAGCTGAACGGGCACCAGCAAGCACCCTGCTCTTGGACCTCCAGAAGCTTGAGACAACCTAAACCTGTTTTCTTTATTAATTTGAGCTTGGGGTGTTCTGTTACAGCAACGGGAAGCAGACTTAGGCCCTGTCTTATGACATGATTGCTGACCTCAGTAAAACCCAAAGGCAGATTCTATTTGTAGCTATAGTACAGATGGGGCCACCAAGTGCAGCGAGGGCGGCAGACCTGCCCAGAGCAGTGACCGAGCTGGACCCACGGGTAGTCACCATCTCCCAAGGTCCAGCGGTGCTGATGGGAAGTTTGTGTTTCCTCCCCATTTGAAGAGCAGGGAGCCTTCTGAAGGGACTTGTTGTTCATTGCTGTTGGCCAGGTGCCCGAGCGCTAGATGGGATTCGTCTAAACTCGGGCTCTGGCAAATTTGATTTTTACTGAAAATTACCCATTTTTTAACATTTAAAATGTTATCGAGCCATGTGGCCATTGCCGTCTTGGGCAGAAAACATCTTGGATGAATTTGCATTTTTAATTCTTGGCATTTTTATTTTGCTTCAGTTCCCAAAGAGCATTTTCCCCCTTCTTTACAGAAAAGTAAAGGGAGAGGCAGCCCAGGACAGGAACACAGAGCCGGGCAGCTCTGTGACCAGCACGGTGACCATGTGCGTCCCTCCTACTGGTGGCACTGGAGCGTCCCGAGTGCTCCCGAGGCAGGGCTGCCTGCTGCTCTCTGAGCCCCTTCCTCCTGCAGCCCTGGGAGGTGAGAGGAAGGGGCTCCTAATGGCCCCTCCTCCCCCAGTGGCCGCCCGGGGCCTGGACTCCTTGGGCTTTCTCGCCACCTTTGTCCTGGCTGGACACCAAGGTTGGCACAGGGCTCTGTCATTGTTGGAGGAGTCGAGTGAGAGGGTGTCAGAGCTGGACAAGAGTGGGCCCCGTGGCAGACGGGGACTGAGGCTGCAGAGGGGAGAGGGCGTGGAGCTCTGATTACCCAGCCATGGTTTCCTGAGTGCCTATTTAGTGCAGGCAGCAGAGAAGTTAGCCTTGGTTCTGCCCAAGCCCTGGGTGGGACTCAGGCAAGGGCACAACACAGTCTAGAGCACAGGGGTAAATGCTGGGACCATGGCAGGGTTTCAGGAGCCCACAGGCAGGGCCCGCAACTCTGGGGTGGGGGCAGGTGCTTGGGTCTCCATTTCACAGATATGTACGTGGAGGCTCAGCTCTGTCTTGTGTCACTGGCTGAGATGGACGTGGGTCTCACCTCCTTCCCACAGATGCCTTGTCAATGCCCACTGACTGCTGGGCTCCATGCCAGGCCACGGGGAACTAGTCCTGAACAAGGCAGCCAGGAACCCTGCCTGAAGGGAAATGACATTTTTGGTGACAGGAACAGAGACAACAAATGAATTAATAAGGAAGATGATTTCAGATGCAGTTGGTGCACACAGAGAAAAATGCAGCAGACCATCTGAAACCAACCACAGGCCAGGGAAGCCAGCCTGGGAGGTTGCAGACCACACCTGGCTCCCTGCCAGAGTTACCACTGCTTGCTGTGTGGTCATGGGCAAATCGCTCAACCTCTCTGTACTCCAGTTTCCATGTTTATAGGACAAGGATAGTATCTGCCACATAAGATTGTCGTGCAGGCTGCAGACTCACACATGTGATGTATGGTACAGAGGCGCTGAGCCTGGAGCCTCAGCGCCAGTCGGTGGGACCACCCCTCCCCGCCCAGAGCCAGCGTGCAAATTCCGCGCTGCATCCATCCCTCTAGCGACTCTGTGGGCCACTCTGCCTGTTTTGCGAAGTGAGGAAGCTACATTTGAATTTGTTAAAAAAAACAAATAACAAAAAAACAACAAAAGCCCCAAACCAAACAAACACTGCGCGCCGCCTTCCCTTCCGCGCCTCCGCAATCTGGTGCGGCGGCCTGGAAAGCCCGGCCACAGATGGCGCGCTCGGGACCAGCCCTGTTTTCTAAATAGCGGCTCCTGGTGTAAATGAGGACGCGCAGACACTTGGCGCTGCCTGGTCGCGCGCCCCGCCCGCGGAGGCGGGGTCCTTCAAGTCCGGATGCGGGGCCCTGCTCCTGGTGACACCCCGCAGACCTGTCCGGGTGTCCCTGTGTCTGCAGGCATAACCCCGGGTGGGGGAACAGGTGCGGCGACCTGGGGACAAGCCAGTCGCCAGGTCTTGTGGCTGAAGTCTTGAAAGTGCGCCCAGGAACCAGCACACCCGGAATGGCTTGGAGTGCTGTCCTCACTACGCACTGGGGACTCCACGTCGCCGAATCCAAAGTTCAGTGCATCTCCTTTGTCTTTTCATACTTTCATTCGTGTGCTCCAGTTATGCAGATTCCAGGGTTCATTTTGGTATCTTCATAAATGCATCTAATACAACTTCCTTTCAATCCTGGTACTTCCCCCTTTCCTCCCCTCTCCCCTCCCCCCCCCCACCTTCTTCTACTTTATTGGTCTTCTTTCTGGTGATTT